GGTTTAATAAATTCAATTTACTAGATTTTTATCCACTACTATTTCTAAACAATTCGCAGCTTATATAATTCACCACTTTTTTCAGATATGTCATGCTAAACTTTTTAAAAAACTAGCAAAATCTGTCAAATATTTGCAAATTTAGTTAGTACTTATTTACCGTTTGGCCAGACGGGCAAGCCATGTAAAATTAGCGTGGCATTCAACATGTTAATTTATTCTATATTTTTAAATGGTCATTTTTAGGCAAAAATAAGGCATATTTTTTCATTATACGCTAAGCAATGTAGACAAAAAATCTGTCGCCCTAAACAAAAAATATCCATAGAAGGCTATCAACTATGTTTTGAACTATAACTCTTAAAAGTGCATATACTACTGAGTTAGAGATCAATGTAATAAAATAAGCAAATTTTTAAAAATTTCCGCACGTGTCTTAGCAAAAAAACATGCATAAAAATTAAATTTTTATCCATCACTATTTCTAAACAATTCGTAGGCTTGTATAATTCACCACTTTTTCAGATATGTCATGATAAACCTTTTAAAAAACCAGCAAAATCTGTCTAATATTTGCAAATTTAATTTGTACTTATTTACCGTTTAGACAAACGGGCAAGTCATGTAAAATTAGCGTGGCATTTAACGAGTTAAATAAAAAAAAATTATTATTCATTACTTTTTTCAGATATGTCATGCTAAACCTTTTAAAAACTTGCAAAATCTGTCAAATATTTGCAAATTTAGTTAGTACTTATTTACCGTTTGGCCAGACGGGCAAGCCATGTAAAATTAACGTGGCATTCAACATGTTAATTTATTCTATATTTTTAAATGGTCATTTTTAGGCAAAAATAAGGCATATTTTTTCATTATACGCTAAGCAATGTAGACAAAAAATCTGTCGCCCTAAACAAAAAATATCCATAGAAGGCTATCAACTATGTTTTGAACTATAACTCTTAAAAGTGCATATACTACTGAGTTAGAGATNTGACATTTAGAGAGAGAGTTGGTTTATGTCCAATCTAAGCGAATCCATTATTTAATCATGACATGCCTAATAAAAGTTAAGAATGATTACAAATTTCGTTGTTCTACAGTTGCATGAATGAGAAGGTTGCGACTAACGTCACAAACCGTCAAATAATCACGCGACTAAAAATTTGAAACACAAATATTAAATGTAAAGATTTTAATCAATTCAGCTGCGACTTGCGTAAATAACGTCTACTTAAAATGGAAAATGAACTCGACAAGTGATAAAAAAGGAAAGTTTTGGAATAGATTTTAGTGCTCCGCCGAATAACAGTTGATTGCTGGATTTATTATGTTAGTAATCTATTTTCAGATTACACGTTTATAGTTTGACGAGAACAATTCTTTTAGAATTCATTCACGTAACCTTAACTGAATCAGTAAGTAAAAGATACCAATAAGAGTATTTCAAAGGCAGTTTAATACCCAACACCCCACATTCTTTATAATAATTTTGATTTATAATTGTTCTTTAATAATTCAATTATCCAGTATTTATTATTCCTCGGCTTTTAAGTAGTTCTTGAGCATTTCTGTTTGCCTTCTTTGTATAACACGAACAGTATCCCAGTTGTTGTGAATAATAGATATAAATTGAATTGTAATGTAATTGAAACTTTTCAATTAAAAATTTGTACACATAGTTAGTATATTATTGTCTATAGTTATAGTATATTAGTATCTATAGCTTCAGTTATTTGTAAAATTTTCAAAATTGTACATTTTACGAATAAGGTAAATAATGGATATAAAATAAAAATTTTACATAAAATTAGTTATTTCTAAAATATACTCTAAATCTCAAATTTCCAAAACACTAAATGCTACAATACTCTGCAATTTAAAGTCGCTTTAAGTACAAAATATTTCTAAAGATAGGAACAGTTAAAATAACAGTATCACAAGACTGTTGATGAAATGGACCCTAGAATTAAAATTTCCTTTAAATATAAATGATTTCTATAGGTAGTAATAGTTAGTATAGCGCCTCTTACCAAGACTCTAAACAAGAACATAATAGGTTAACCTGTCAATTATATTTTGTTACACAAATAATTGAAGCTATTTTACTATAGCTTCAGTTATTAGAAAAATTTTCAAAATTTTACATTTTACAAATAAAGTGAATAATGTAAATAAACAAAATATACTTTAAATCTCAAATTTTCTCCAATAACCAAATACTTCGCAATAATACTTCGTAATTAAAAGTCTTTTCAAGTACTAAAGATTTAAAAAATAGGAACAATCAGAACAACAAAACTGTTAATTAGAATGACCCTAGAACATTGTAATTAAAATTTTCTTCAAATGTAAACGATTTCTAAAGGATTAATATAAAAAAATTACAAGAGATTCTCTTCAGGTATTTTTAATTTTCAAATGCACTGGACTTAAAAAAATAAATAAAGAAAAAAAATCATAATTAACAATTCGTTAACGAAGTTCTTTAATATAATATGAACATAAACAATAACAATGCATATACAATAACAAAGATGGCATTTCTTTAAACTACATTGCGTTTCTTAAAGTTTATTTAAGCATGCATAGTTGAAAAATTCAGTGAAAATAGCTGATAGGACCAGGATGCTCGAATAAATTTTAAGGCAATAACATTCTCTATAAAGAAAATCCTAACTTTAACGAATTGGAAATGTGTATAATTTGTGAAACTTCTACCATAACTTTAATGAAATATTAAAATTAAAACTAAATTCAGAAACAAAAACGATCGCAATTTGCATCTTTCTATTTAAAAAATGTACAATGAAGCTATAATTTTAACAAATACAAAAGTAGTATCGTATTATAATTATGTATTTATGATTAATTAAAGAAACAGACTCGTATGATCATTCTATGTATTTATAATTTATTAAATACTTGTATAATAATTCTATGTATTTATAATTTATTAAATAAATATACCTAAAAAAAGGCCGTATCTTTTGAAAGAATTGCGTTCGATCAAACAAGAACGGAATAATAAACTGGAAAAAAAATTTTAATACGTTTTTTCAAGGTGATAACAGTGGATAGACTAGTGATTTTTAAATTTTTAAATGCGTTTATCTCAAAATCAGGTTTTTTTTTCAGATTTTACACCAACTAAAACACGATATCTCACATTGCTTCTAAAATAATCATCTACAATTTCTTATGAGTGTTTATGATTATAGCGCACATGTTTTGAACTACAGACTAAGAGAAAAGAGCAGAATTTCATTTTTTTTTTTTAATTTTTTTTTTTTTTTT